CATGCTCCTGGAGCATGTTACAGAAATCAGAAAATGACTTTGATTTCAAATTAGGCTTTCACGAAGGTTTTAGAAAATATGTTCAATACTATCTACCAGAAGAAAACTTGGGGTAGCTTCCTGAAGACAGTGCACTCCACACCCGGGCCCTGTGCTTCTGAACATTGCCTTGGAAAGGAATCTTTCCTTTGCTTTGAAACAATCGGAGCTTGGAGCTGTAGCTCAAGTTTATTAGTGATTTAAAACACACCCTTGGAAACCAAGTTAGCTTCCAGGTGGGAAGTGAGTTCCAGCAACCAGGAACAAGAGTCAGGAAAGCTCGCGGACAGACAATCCTGTTGAGCCTGACTTCAAACAACTCTTCTGGGTTAGGAAGGTGGCTCAGTCCGTAGAGCGCTCTCTGCACAAAAATAAGCAGCTGCATCCGGATCTTCAGCACCCGCATTAAAAACTAGCTGGCCATGGTGGGCCGTGTGTCTGTAACCCCAGGGCTGGGGGTGCACGTGGAAGGAGGCAAGAGGAACCCTGGGGCTCACTGGCAGACAGCCTAGCTAAACCGATGCGAGCCAGGTTCAGTGAGAGGTCTTGTCTCAAAACCCAAAGCCCTGGGCTATTGAGAGGAACACTGGATGCTAACCTCTGGCCTTCACCTAGATGTGCACACATGTGCGTGTGCACCTGCAAACGCCCAAGCATCTCTCTCTCTCTCTCTCTCTCTCTCTCTCTCTCTCTCTCTCTCTCTCTCTCTCTCTCTCTCTCTCTTTCTCTCTCTCTCTGCTCTTCTACCAGTCAGCCATCTATCCAACAAAAGGCAAGGGGATCTTCGTACGAAACACACACCTTCTACATAAAGACGGAGATAAAAGGGTTCAGCCGCCCAAATTTGGCGTCTCTAAAAATGCTGTTTGAATCGCTAAATTTTGTCTGCTCGGTTGTCTAGCAACCAAGTGCAGAAGAGAAACTCCACCTAAACACAGTGAAGCAACACATTCGGTTCATGGGGCTGGGTGCACACGTGTGCGTGTGTAGTATCGTCGGTGTCGGGAGACAGAAACTTGCCTGCATCCAAAGCAGAGAAAGTCCTGAGTGTAGATGGCAGGAGAGGACGTGAGGAGCGAGGCAAAAGCAACAAGAAAATGTGCAATGCAGGATGAGGGTATAGTTTCCACACACTGGGCTAAAGCAAGGTTTACACTCTTAAGCAATAAAAACAAACCATTAAGCGAGGCCCAGCACCGTCAGGAAGTGTAAAACAGTTCTTGAAGCTTTGCAGTCGCTCTACAAACGCTTTTCATAAACTCTGTTTCCTGATCTTCATTAAACGTTAACATCAAGTTGCCACGGGGCAATTAGCTTGCCTCCTGAAATCAATAAAAAATCAACAATTTGGAAATAGTTGTACAGTAAAATAGTTCAATAATTATTCTCTCATAGTGTTGTGGCCAAGCAGTTCCAGGGTAAATTCGGTCCAGATGAGTTCCTGCGCCTTACGAGGGAAGCTGTGACCAGACCGGAGCTTTGCTGGGAGACCTCCTCATCAGAATGGACTGCGGCAGTAATGGACTCCCGGCAATGCCCTGGCGTGGGGCCCGGCACACAGGCAAACATGAGCTTTTAAGTGCTGTTAAAGTCAGCATCTGCTGTAGCACCTCAGAGGGACTCAATTCAAGGTTTAGAGACCTAAACACAATGATAAACCCATCAGGGCAAAAATAGCGCCTCTACTCTTCAGCGCTCAGATTCCAGACAGGAGCAAATTAAAATGTCTCTCAGAGACATGCATGCACGTGGGGGGAGGGGGTGTGCATGTGTATGTACATGCGTACATGTGTGTGTGTGTGTCTTACACCACTAAAGACTGGTTGAATTCATTCCATCTTTTGTTCCTTCAACGAACACTCAAATCTGCGGTGCGTGTTAATGTCTTCTGAGCTGAGTAAGGAGATTCACAAATCACCCTCCGTGCCCAAAGGGCATTGTCCTAACCAGAGGCGAGGATGTGAAGCAAAGACAGGAAGCTATTTCTGCGCTGACCCTCTGCAGAGGGAAACATATTCCTTTTGGTTTTTCTCTAGCTTAAGCCATTCGCATAAGCCCTTTATTCCAAGCCAAGTGCAGCCTAGAAAATTCCAACTTCCATTAGATCAAACCTCAAACACCAGCTTTGGAGTCTTACTCCGCCCTCTAGACTCAGTGAAGTTATACCGGGTACTGTCTTCTAACTTACAAAAAAAAAAAAAAAAAAGAATCAAGCATCATTTTGTATAAACAAATGCTTCAACTGCATGACATCCACCCGCTGCCTTCAAAGGGAAACCTTTAACTCGGATGCTTGGCACTAAGATCACACAGGATCGGCTCGGTGCACTGTCTTAAGTGTTAAAAGTCCCTTAAAGTGCATTTTCAAGGGCTTGCACCTGCTCACTCTCCATATAGATGTACTGACACGTATTTGACTAAACTGACTACAGCATGCCCAAGCAAGCAGGCGGAGCAGATTTTACAAGATAAGCAACCAAGTGTTTTCATGTCGAAGAGGAGCTAGAACACAAGTTCGCCAGGCATCTTCTAGTGGGAAAGAATGTCTCCGGGAAAACACGCAGGGCACTGGGTTAGACGCCACTGCACCACAGCTTTGCCTTCTGTTTCTTTCCATCCGCGCCCAGCTTTTGATCGAAGGGGCTACACTTGATGCAGCTTCTGTAGTTCCGACCGAAAGAACAGTCAACAGAATCTCACTGCTCAAACTGTGGTCCTCTGGCACGTGATGCCGGGCTTTCACCTGGGACTTCTTTAGGAATTCAGGACCTCGGGGCCCCACCCGGACCACTGCGGCAGGATTTGTAAAGTAGCGTGACTCGGTGAGGGTTGTAGCCACATCAAGATTTTGTTTCCCTCAAGGCATTGCTGAGGATTGAGGTACACGTTAAAGCCGAACCCATTTTATTTAGAACGTAAGGCACTGCAAGTCAGGTAAAAGTTCACTTTGAAGTCTGTAGAGCAGGGAACTGGTCAGAAAAGTCTGCCCTAGAGAATATCGTAGGCTGTAATTTATGCCAGCTATGTGAAGGAAAGGAGAGAGGCAATTTACCTGAGTCGAGCAGATGTTTGGGCCTCCCCCTAATCTCACCCTACCTGCCCTTTCCCGTGCAAGGCATGAAACAGAACCTGGATATTCTGATTTCCTCACGTTGCCAATTTACACCCACCACCTTTTTTTTTCACCGCCTTTTTTTTTCACTGTCTTTTTTTTTTTTTTTTTAATACTTTGAGCATTCTTCACTGCAAAGCTTTGTTCCTTTGGCCTTTCAGTCAAAGGAAGAAGAGCGTGAGGGGTATGGTGTATTAGTACCCAACGAATCAGTATCTCAACAGCAAGCCAGCTCAATAGACATTAGCTAAGTGATTGGATGCGGCTTTGATTGTACAGATGGATTTCCATCCTAAAAAAACTAGAGAGAAAACCTGAACCACTCAGGTTGGGGAAGAATGACACAGCTCCATCTCTTGTGAAACTTCTACACCTTAATGGAAACCAAAAACATAGCCATCCACGTATGTAACACACATAATCTTCATATGTGTATGCATAAATTAGAACATACACGCACTGTATACATCGATATGTATATACATACACATCATGTGGGACCTGTTGTTCCTCAAGTAGTTTTGACCAAGAAAATCAATAACAGTGAAGCAGAAAGCATGCCAAGAATGGGCCTGCCAGAGGATGGAATCCTTGTCGGATATCCCCACTCCTATCTCCAGAACTTGGAGAAACATGGGAAAACATGGGCCATTCTTTTTAAGGTGTTAAGACTGTGGTTTGTTACTAGTACCCATGGCAAGACACAGCAAAGAATGAATGAAGGACTTGGCTAGCCATAGTTGGCTCTAATGGTTTCTACCTGTGCAAAGGGAACAGCAAAAAGGGATAAGAAAGAACGCTTCAAAAGATAACCCGGATATTCATTCAAAACAGGATCTCTGAAACTTCAAAGCCTCTAAAGGTAAGCATGCTCAAGGTCATCCCATGTTAATAGTGGAGAAGAATTTAATTCAAACAGCCCTTCTCATTGTGAGCACACTGCTTTCTGATTCCGTTTGAAGACAGGGGTTGAGAAAGGGGGTAAGAACTAGGCGTCAGCCACGAGGGGACTACAGGAGGATCCACATTCTGGAAACTGACCTGAAACACCGCCTTAACCTGGCGTTGTGGATTCCCTGGTCTGCAAACATAGCCACAAGCCCTGCCTAGGTTGCACTTCCAATCTGAGAGTGGAAGCTCAACCACTGCTGCCGGTTCACCCTCCCGGGCTGCATTTGACTTCACTCCCTTTGGGCAGCTGGCCAACTGGCAGATGTCTTCACAGAAGCTGATCCCAGACACTCTCTCCTTCTAATTTGTTGGCATGGTGGCCTCCGTTGCAAGGGATGGCATCTCTGGAACTTTACCGTGGGCTCGTTCTGCAAGCTTTGCCTTGTTCTAGCTTTGACTTTCTCTCACTTTCTTTCCCGCTCCTGAAAACTATTTCATGGGTAAGTCCTTTGGTGCAAATGGGGCTTCTTTGGAATTCTCCAACTGTTTAAGTCACCCCCTCCCAGCCACCTTTAAATCAGTCACTTCAGCAATGAAAATGCAAACATGATAGACCCTGGGAACACTTAAAAATGCACTATTTGCTCTCATGGGTTAGATTTTATAGAATGAAATGTCAGAGTTTTTGATATTTATTATCAGAAACAGGGTTAACATTTGGAGAAATGTGTCCAAATACACATCCCTGGGAAGAAAAGTAAGCCAACAGGTCAGAGAACAGGGTGTAGGCAGAAAAACAAGGTGCTCAATGTTGCTCAGTGTTGGGCAAACGTAGACAAGTGGGTGCTTTGGTGAATAAAGAGCTTGCTGATAATGGTAAACACAAAATTACAAATCAATTTCCACTTCTTTATGAGGACCACAAGATAATCAATTGTACATATATATGACCACAATGTTAATAAAGAAGAAATATTATATTTTATTTAGTACTTTGGCCAGATCAGTCCCCTGGAAGGGATCATAGGTTTGGGAAAGAACAAGACGCCATTATCATTTCCTGACATGGTCACAGTTTTCCTATTTATTTCCACTCGTTCTGCTTTATTCTTTCTGCAAGGAGAGCTTTGCTAGCAGATCAGTAATGTCTGGTTCTTGCCCAAATATCCCCCCCTAATAAGAATGAAAGTTCTCACGGATTGGACAACCACTCTGCAACATTCCTGAGAATTGAATAATATAATAATCTTGAAAGTCAGCAGAGTGGATTATCCATTTTTTTTTTTGGACTTGAACTTGTGAACTTAACAGTAGTGCTGCGAAAAACAAAAAGCAAACGTGCAAGCACTTTGCCCAGTAACCTTCCATGTAGACTTCGCATCTTAAATACACACAACTGAAAAACAACTACAATTTTTGGAAAATTATATACAAACCCGATATTTCTTTTGATTACATATAAATACAAATTAACTATCTTTTTTTTCCTAAAAAGTGGTTATAATAGTAAATAAATACAAAATAACTCTGACCATTATACTTCATGTGCTGGAGTTGAACCCATATAAAATGTACAACTAAATACATTTTAAATCTTTAAGGAATAATTCTCTGATTAAAATATTTGCTTTCCCAACTTCTTTTTCGTAGATATAAATATATTTTCAAAATAGCTGTGTTTTTTTTCCATTCCGTTCCATAAATAAAGTCTTCATTGGGAAATATTAAAGTGTCAGCTGGTTTTTTTTTGGGGGGGGAGTAGGGTTTTTTTCTTTTTCTAAAATATATATATTTATTTGTTTATTGTTGCTGTGCTAACGACACCCACAGCCCTCCACAACCATGTCCTGATAGTTTTTTAGCACAACCTTTTCATTCTCGTCTAGGTACAACATGGAGATTGCGCTGAGCTCCGTTGGCACACAACATGCCTTTGGGATCTTGGAATTCACAGAGTTCACGAGCGTCTGTACTATGGCATGGTTAGTGGAGTTCAGGTGATCCGCCAGGGGAAAGGGACATTCCCCATGGCAGTAAAAGGCATGATAGCCTGGAGGGGCCACAATCCAGTCGTTCCACCCCACATCGCTGAAGTCCACGTACAAAGGGTGTCTCTTGCAGCTGGACTTGAGGCGCTTCCGTTGTTTGTGCTTGGCTTGACGCTTTTCTCTTCTGTGGAGTGGATGTCCTTTGCCATCGTGGCCAAAAGTCACTAGCAATGGCCTTATCTGTGACCAGCTATGTTTATCTTGGTGCAAAGACCTGCTGATCCTCACATGTCTCTTGGAGACACCTGGTTTCTCCTCCAAATGGGCCACTTCCACCACAAACCCATAGTTGGCATGTCCCTGTGCAGTCCACCGCGTCACGGCCGGGGTGACATCAAAACTCTCCCACTGACTTGTGTTCTGATTCACTAATCTGGTGTCCAGTAGTCTGGTCACAGGGAATTTCAAGCTGGTTGCTGCAGGCTTTATAATTTCATAAATATTAATTCGGTGCTGGAAACTATCGTTTCCCAAAGTTTCCTGTATCTGTTCCCGAAAAATCTGGAGTTCCGCAGACGTGATGAACTCTTCCGTGGGGACAGAACTTAGGTTGAAGAAGAAGCGGCGGGCTGTTTTCCCACTCATCTCTGGGAGTTCTTCTACGGCTTCTAGTTCGATCAAAGTGGGGAGAAAAGGGAAAACATTCAAATAAGAGGGCCAATGGTAAGTGACTTCTTTATGAAAAGTCTAAAACCTCACTGGACAATTCAAGTTAAACTGCATCGAAGTTTGCAACCAGAAAATAAAAATGTCAGGGCTAGAGGGACCCTGTCTGCCTCCTTCCCTTGGCCCTGGGTTTAATGCTCAACACTAAAAAGGAAATAAAACTCTCTCTCGTCTCTAAAGTGAAAATAGAGTCTCGTTTTCCTTTTTCTATATGATCACATTTAGTTTGTAATTGCTATGCTTTTAATCCAATATCTGAACCTAGCTCCTAGGTAGCTATAATAATGGAGGAAATAGTGAAACACTTCTTTGGAATTCGCAGACTTTAGGGGGAAAAGTCAGTACTATAGTTAGCAGAGGGCTAATGACTGAGGGGCTGAGGAAATGATTGCGTTTCTTAACTAAGAAAACGAGCTTTCATGTCAATCCCTTAAGCGGCATGTGAAAACATCACTCTACAATTTAGATGATTTACAAATCTCAATATACAGATTTCAGCCTCTTAATTAGAGACTCCGAAACGCAACATCAGTGATGACATTTTACAAAAGCGCACCCTACCATTTTGCTCAGAACTCTAGAGACAAAGGTATGGGTGGCACTGGGACACTGTAGTAATTAAGGATAAAGAATTTCAGGAGAAATGGCTCCCGACTGCCTGTTCTCTCATCTCCATCGTATCCTTATTCAACCCCTGGGCCAACGCAGCAGTCTTAGACTCTGGCCCGCATAACAGTTGCTCTGGGAAGGGGTCTGCGAGCCTGCATTTCCATCAAGCTCTTAGGAAGAGATGCTGCGAGCTATGGGCCACGCTTCAGTGTCAAGGATACAAAAGATGTTTCTCGCATACAAAGGAAGAGTGACAAAGAAGCAGATTTGTAAAGCCCCTTTTATAGAAGAGGCCTAAGTATTGGCCAGTGAGTAAGGATTCAGGCTACCATCAGCCAGCCAGGGACTAGAACAGGGGAGTCGTCTAAAGCTCTTCTGCTTTGACATGGAGAACACTAGGCCAGCTGGGTACCATTCACGGTCCTCTTGCACCTGCTTGCCAATACGTTCTTGATGATACCTTTGGGGACCCATTCATGTTCTGAACTCCACTATCAGTTAATGGTACTTTAGGGCAGGGACGTTCCGAGAAAGTCTGAAGGACTGCATGTAGCTTCTTTTGCAAAAACTTATTTTGATTGCTCTTCTTGGGTCCCTTAATGTTTCTGCCTGAGGTACTTCTTCAAGGGAAAAAGAAAAACAGTAGCAACATCCCCCAAATCCTAATCACACCAAATCACACTGACTTCTCCTGACATTGGCACAGAAGGTTCATATGAACTTCCTTTAAAGACAGAATATAAAGGCCAATTACCCAGGGCCTTCTACAAACAGCTGCATTAGTCAACAGAAAAACACAGTGGCAACAAAACCCCTGAATCCAATTCACAAAGAAGGAAAATGTGACAATCATAAGTACACATGCACGCATATAGACACATATATGACCATAGGACAAAAGCAAAGGGGCAATCCCCAAGATAAATATGGGAGACAGGTCATTGAAGCAGCAGAGAATAATAACTGTCTAAGAAATAAAGTCAAGATTGCCATCTTCCAGCCAGAAGCATAGAAACAGCCATTTCCTGTGGCCTGTCTGTCACTCAGGAGGTAAGGAGTATCAGCAAGACAGAGTAAGTGGCCTTCACAAGAGAGAACAATGCACTACCCAATACTAATGACAAGAGAAAGACCTATCTCCAATCTCCCAACAGCATTTCTATTTCCCTAATCCTTAGAGGACCCCATCCCAGCCTTCATTCCAAAGTATCTACTGTTACTGTTCACTGAAACCATACACAGAAGCCAAGAATTGAAAGACTATCTCAACACAGGAGGCTAACTGCCTAAGTAGGGTCAGGACACAAACACCTTTTCTCTTTCAGGGAACAAGGTGCAACCTCTTCTTGAGGGTGGGGAATTGAAAATCTCTTTTAAATAAAGTAAATTATAGGAAAAGGCCTCTACAAATCATGGCAGCAAGCCTGGGGCTCAGAAAATACAGAGAGGGTAATGTACACTTTCTGGAGGCTGAACTGCCTGCTAATTCTCTGTAAACATCCCCTGTTGAATCAGCTGAACTTGCTAAGGGATTTCAAGATTTTTACCTGGCTCCAACCTGAATATCAGGCTCTTAGTTCTTAATCAAATGGAAGGAGTGATTAGCTGCAAAAATGTTAAAAAGAAAAGGGGAGAGGGGGAGAGAAAATAGGACAGCAACACCATTCCATTTTTTTCTAGAAACAAAGCCCAGATTTAACATTCCACACTATGACCATCTGTCTATGAACTACCTTACAACAAGCTCATTAGAGAGGAACCGTGATTATCTTCGCTTTGTGAATGAAAGAGCTGGGAATTCAGAGTTTAGGTGACTTCTCTTAGGCAACAGAACTAATGAGTCTGCGGCAATGCCCAAGTTCTAGCCATCAGAAGGCAGGAGGAGAGAAATCAAACCCTAAGCAGCAGTCCAAATCCTTAGGAATTGGTACCTTATACCATGGTAACTGCCGAGTGAGGTTTTGTTCTGGGAATGAAAACATATTGCCCAGTTACCCTTTTGGACATGTAGACAGAGCTGAATGAACAGAAACGCGAAGTGACACCACCGGACGGGACTCACAGACATTGTTCAGAACCTGCTCTCTGTGGCTACTTGTTTGCCCTGAAGTAGGGCGAGTTTTATTTCAGAAGTTATCATTAAGCTTGGAGGATTTTGCAACCCTTTTTGGACAGAACACATTCCTCCATCCAAACGACAACAAAGCCTGCGGCTGCTCCAGACCAGCAGCTGAATCTCACTCCTGCAACAAGATGCAAGGGGCTCTGGGCCACACATGGCTTTCTACAGGATAAAGTCAATGACATACCAAAGAGAGAGAACAAAGTTAAAATTCACAGAATTAAGTTTCAATCTTTGAGATAATGAAGGCAGTGGTGGGAAAGGAAAGCAGAGCCTGGTGGTTGTTAGTAACTCCACGTGGTCTCTGCTCCCCTGAGCACAGCACCTTCAGGAGGGCTCTGCCTCCGGAGGTCCAATCTAAAGACTGAGTGAAATGCCGCAGGGGCACAAGGACAAAAGCAGCCTGGAGATGAGTCAGGAGGAATCCAAAGAGACTGCTGACAAACAAGAGGCACAGGAAACATCAGTGGCAAGGACTATCTGCAAACTGAGCAACTGTTTTCCCCACAGGGTCTCGGTAATCACACCGTGACAGCTAGAGGCAGATAGATAGGAGCATTCCTGGTGTCTGTGTCCAAACGCATACTGGAATTTTGGACCATGCTTTCACCATCACAAGGCAAAGCCACTCAACAATGAACAGTCTTGCAAAATGTCCTGTGTGCGTAATGATGATAGAAAAGAGATGTTGCAGTAAAAATGACATCTAATTACACCAGATAGGCTAGTGCAAGTTACTACTCTCAGCAAGTCCATAACTTCTATATAGCTTTACACATGAAAATCACATTTAAAGACAGAAAGTTTTGTTATGAACCCAAGCACACCGAGTTAAACTAACACAGAGAGACAATGCTTTGCCTGTGTTTATCAAGTCACTTCCAAGGGAAGATTGAGAAGATGCAGATTTTACTCAGGAAACTTTCATTCAGTTGTAGCTTTCTTTGTGTTTTAATGGACTTAAATGATCCTTGTAGCTCCGTTTAAGCAAGGATAAAGTATATACTTGGTTTCTACAAATAAAGAATAGTTTTCATGCTAGTAAATAAAAAAATACACAAATAGTCAGGTTTTCACGTTAAATCTCCAGAGGCATCAGGGGAAACAGCTGTGTGCTCCCCCCACCCTCTTATCTACAAAAGCTTTCTGATCACAGTCAACTGGGAGAGATTAGAATCACCTCAGGGTGGTGGGGATGGAGTGAACCACACCTGAGTCTCCTTGCTCTCTGTGGGCAGATCCTGAAGACCAGGACCACTATCTTTCAAAACTGAGAAATCTGTTCGAAAGAGATGGATTTTAGAGTGCCCTTCCTGAGTAGCTGCCTCTGGGAAGATATACCTCTTGCTATGTGACCTGCCTGTGGGACTTTTTCCTATAATCAAGCAGACTTCTCAAAGTTTAAGCCATCTCTTGGGCGGGGCGGGGGGGGGCGCTACCATTTCAGGGCAGAGATGTTATTTTGCTTGAAATTTATCGTCTCAGCAAGGCAAAGCAGAATCTTAAAAGGGGAATGTCTCTCCTAGCTCCCTACTGTTCTAGAAATTGCTGCTCACTGACAGACAACTCTGCATGCTTCTAGAACTTGAAGGAACTGATATTCTATTTAGAATACATTAAGCCAAAAGAACATTTAAAGTCACACACACACAGAGAATTGAGACAGAATTGAGCTGAGGCGTGATGTTTAACTAACTGAACTAAGAATTTTGGTCTTAAGTCTCTAAGACATTTCGAACCCACGAAACGTCTTTCTGACGAAGTGAACAGAAATGCCCTACCTTGGGAAGCCACATTCATACCCAAAGAAAAAAAACAACCCACTGCCTTGCCTAGGAAGGTAGCACTCAGTAGAAGAAACAGCTTTAATCTGAAGACTTGCCCTGTCTCCAGTTAGTGACTAAGATTTAAACACGAGACTGGAAGGTCACTGTAGAAACAATAAGATTGATTGTGGAATTGATCTCCCACGGGGATTAGATAGGTATTCAAAATCTTTCAAACTAGGCCCAGATCAACAGTAAATTTGAATGCTTTGGGGCCCTGGGGCTTTTAGTCTGTTAATATTATCCTTGAACTTTCGGCCCTTGGTTCCGTCTAGCTCGAAACTCCAGCGTGAACACAAGACACAGAGCTTTCGAACAGATTTTAAGGAAGCCAACCCTCCACCTTCTCCTGTGCAGTTCAGGCACGTTTAGCTGACTAGGGACTGGCCAGCCTTTTACCCTCTTCCCCATCACTCGTTTTCCCTCCAGTTCTTGGAGGAGGAGTCTGTCTTCTGGCTACCTGCCAGGAAAGGGTGCGGACTCACCAGTGGGGAATCCCTGGCTCGGGGCCACAGAGGGGACGGTACAGAAGCAGAGGGGCCGTCCGCTGTACTAGCGGAGGCCCGGGCTACCCGCCGAGTCCCCGCCCGCCGTCCCCGCCCCGCCGCCCGCCACCCGCTCACCTTCGTGGTGGAAGCTGCGCACGGTGTTGGCGCGGCTGGTTGCCTTCTCCAGCCGGTGGTCCGGGGCGGGCGCTCCTGGCTGGCCCGAGTGCCGGCGGTACAAGTCCAGCATGTAGGGGGGCACCACGGCGTCCTTGCTGGGGGTGGGTCTCTGCTTTAGGCCGAACATGCTGAGCAGCCTCAACTCAAACTCACTGAGAACGTCGTCCGAAGGCCGGGACAAGGGGCGGCCGGATGCCGTGGCGAACTTCTTGCGGCCCAGCTCCGGAATGAGGCCGGCCGCGCCGCCCAGGAGGACCTGGGGAAGCAGCAACACTAGAAGACAGCGGGTCCCGGCCACCATGGTCGACCTGCGGACAGGGCCGACGTGAGTCACCCACGTTCCCCGCCCAGTCCTTCGCCCGCCCCCGCGGCCCCGGCTCCCATAGGGCTCGCTGGCCCTCTTGGCATGTCATGCTCAGGGCTACAACCCGGATGATCAAGAGGATGGAGGATCCCAAGTCCCTGTGCTTTCTCTCCTCTCATCCCATTCTCTGCCTACATTGAGCTTCCCACTTAGGGCTTGGTCTTCACTCCCAATAAAAGTCAATGACCATCATGCACCTTTTCATATGACAACCAGCTAGGAAGGTGGTGTCAGGAAGCAGGGAAGCCACCGGCTGGTCTGACACACTGCATCTCTTACAAAACTATACTGTGCAGCGCTCGTTTGCACATAAACAGACCCAAATGCACATGTGACTTCCTTAGAAGCGCCGTATAGAACTTCCTGGTAGGCGACTATAGCTAACTTGTAGATTCGGTAAGCGCTAAATTCAAGATTACAACTTTGGACTCCACTTTCAAATTGTGGCCCAAGTCCCTAACCTCGGGGTTGACCCACTGGCCACTCTGTCCCCTTCCCTAGACCCCTGTTACGTCATGCTCTTTACTGCAATTATGTAAATGGTAGTTTCTCTGAATGCACGTGTAAACTGTGACACATCACGTCCTTGCAGTAAACACACAGGGAGCCCAACTGTAAGTACCTTCCTTCCTAAATGGACCTAGCTCTTAAGCCAGACTTTAGGTCTCAGGCATAATTTAAGGACAGCCAAGGTATCTCTACCGCAACTAACGGGTGAAATCCACTGAGTTTCTGTAACTTTTTTTTTTTTTTTTTTTTTTTGTAAAGCCATTAAGTCTCTGACAGACCTAATTATATACCGAAAACTGGGGAGAAGGACGGACCGGCAGAAGAGTGCAGCCCAGGTGGGCAAGGCAGAGGGGTCTCGGGTTTGGGATGTCTGACCCCCTAGAACGGGCTTCGCTGCACGTGCACCGGGAGAGGGTCTGTTTATGTCCACTCGACCGGTCCTCCGTGGCGCTCAGAGCCTCATGGAGAGAACGCGGTGTCACCCGTCAGCCCCGGGTCCCGGCCCGTGTCCTCTACCTTTAGGAGACCGCAGTCCGTCTAAGAAGCACTCGAGGGCACGTCCATTGAGAGAGTCTCCACATGGAAAAAGCTCTGTCCGAGGGACCTGGAGCAGCGACCGAGTTTCTGTTGTCTTTCTTCGCCTGGTCCTCCTTCTCTGGGTGTCAGCCGCGTCGTCCTTCTCCCCGTGGGGAACGGTGTCTTGGGGTGGACCAGGTCGGCCGAGGAGCAGAGAGGTGACGGGGTTGGAGGCAGCAAGACTGGATCCGCCGGGCGAGGACACCGGCGCGAAGTCGGGAGCCCAAGTCACTCTCCCGGCAAGTTCAAGAAGTCTCCAGCCAAGTGCTGACACACAGCCTCGAGCAGGGGGAGGAGTGCGGGGCAGGGACGGGAAGGGAAGGGAAGGCAGAGGCAAGGCTGCCGCTGTCGTCGTCCTCAGGGATCAGCGCTGGTAGGGCGCGGGGCGGGCTCCGGGACTCGCCGGGCGAGGGTCGGACGCTCCACGCTAGCTCGGCCGCGACCCATGACTCGGGGCAGCCATCCTGGGAGAAGCCGGGTCCGGGGAAGGGCGCAGCGAAGATCTGGGCGGCGGACGGGCCGCCACTCCGCATCCCTCAGCCTGACTCTGGCGCACCCCCATCAGCGCTCGCCAGCGGAGCCCGCAAGGCTGCGGCGCCCCGGCGTCCTGGAGCGCATTCTCCAAGCCAGTTCAGCCGCGTCCCGGGCCGCCAAACCGGGTGACCTCGCGGTCGGAGCCCTCGGGCCAAATGTCTTTTGTGGCAGCTTGGGGTCCGCTCACTCCTCGGCTCGCGCGCCCCGGACGCTCGGTGTTTGGTTGGAGTGGCCCCACATTCCGGGCGCGGCGGGGCTGCCGACTCCCGGCTCTTCGCGTCGGTCCGCGGCTCCGGCTTCTCCCGGGCAGCCGAGGCCACAGCGCCAGGCGCGCACAGTCAGAAGCTCCAACCCGAGGCTTGCCGGTGTCTCGAAGCCACGAGTGACCCGCGCGCCGCTCGCCCCGAAGGCGTCCGGTGACCGGCGGCGGCTGGGGAGGCGACGTCCCGGGCTGCCTATCCCGGGCAGGCTGTGGGAAGTGCAGCGGCGGGCGCAGCGCGAGCCGGGCTCAGCGCGGCGGGGCGAGGACTCCGGCGGCGACGGCGGAGGCGCCGTGGCGCGGCGCTCGCGGCTTTTAAAGGGGACGCCGCCTGCCGGCTCCCCCTTGGAGGCGCAGCGCGCCGGGGATCCCCGAGCGGGCGGGAGCAGCGCGCAGGGGTGTGGACGGCGCGCCCAGCGGGGCGGCCGCGGTGGGGCGGGGCGGGGCGAGCGCGCGGCCACTGAGGGTCGGGTCCCAGACGAGAGTGACGCTGTCCCTCGGGGACCTGGACCTGCGCCCACAGCAGCCCAAGTCCAGGGCAGACCCAGGGTCTGGTCTCCTCTGGGTCCCCCACTGGGCCGTTATTCAACTTGAGTTTGAAGTTTTTAGGTAATAGAGCATAGAAAAGCAGAACAAGCTATCAGACATCTCGGCAAAGATTCGGGCAAACACCTCTATGTTTGGAGTGATGAGAAGACAATGTCAAGAAATACACATTGAGTGCATTGTTATGTTTGTATATATATACACATATATGCATATATATTCACCCCCATGTGAGTGCATTTATCTATACTCAAAATGCATATAATGATATAAAAAGATGCATATATTTTATATGTATCCATTTATGTAAAATATACAAATGAAGGCACAGGTTCTGCACACAGATATACACATGTAAAATAGATGTCTCCTGTGTAGTTTGTATGTGTGTTTCCCCATGTGAGGTGACAATAGGAGTTGATTCTTTTTCTATAGAAGCCATCACTTCATTCCTCGCGATATTTATCTCGACTCCCACCTCTAGCACAGAGGCAGGTAAGAAAACAATTCCGGTTTGAGACCTTCGAATTTTCTGCCTGGCCCGGCTCCACCAGGTCTCCAGAAGCAAGGCTCTGGCTGTGGCCAAGTCACTTTTCTTCCTCAGCTGGAACGTCCCCACAGCTGCTGAGCCAGGGTTCTTTTGGAACTCTTTCCACTTCTCCCAGAATTTCAGGAGTCTTCATGCTTCCAGCCACCTGGTTGCCCACATGACCCCCAAAGCCAAGGGCAGAATGTTTCTCTAGAAGACCGGATTGGGAACATCGGCTTTTGAACCAGATCTTTCAAGTTTGTGAAGCTGAGACAGAAAAACCAGAAGCAGGGGCATTAGTAATCTATTATCCATGTGTATTAGCATTTCAGTTGGGGAGCTAAAATAACTCAGGGTTCCACTCACCTAAATCGGATTAGCAACCCACAGAGGGAAATGAGGCCCTGGCTGTTTCTAGAGCTGTAAAGGTCAAATAAGGTATTTTGAAGGAAGACTGTCCACTAAGAAAATTAAAGGAAGGGAAAAGATTCAGGAGTACTGCTACTGTACTGCTTTTTTAAAAGGTGTTATAAACGTTGTCACTCTGAATCATGAGACACCAAACAAGTGAGCAATAAAACACTCTACTCAGACACCTAAGTCAAGAGTGCCTGATCTCTTCTGCGACCGTTTCCTTCCCTACCAAGTTTAATTGAGAAGTTAACAATTGCTTCTGTCATCAGGGAGGGGAGGCGGGAGAAGCAAACCAAAACCCCAAACCTACGTGAGATTTAAATCAGAATGCTGCCTTCAGTGAGGAAGAGAAAGCTGACAGCTATTGGACCCACCCCAAGTCGAGATGAAAATGAAACCTCTGATGATGGCATCAACAGTGCTTTGCAGCTTTGGGCCTTCAGAATTCCACAAGTGGGGGGTTGGTTGTTTCTGATCCCCATAGAAATCAAGACCTAAGAGAAAAGGGATGCTTCCGGACAATTACTCCACCTTGGTGGGGCCCGGTGGGTTTTCTTCTTTGGTAGAGCATGCAATCCCTGACTTGCTGCCTAAAGCCTTTTCCCGACATTTTCCTCAAGTTTGGCCCAATTTCTCTGAAGAGCAGGACTTTTGTTTTTTAGAGCTGGCTGCCCTCTTGTGGTAGAAATGAGTGCCCACACCTGGGAGGAAGAAGTGAATCCAGTTTGAAGAAATTCTTCTCTGAAGGATTTGGAGTTCAAAGTGGATGATAACGTTCAGTCCATTTTCCATGAAGCAGAAATAGTAGAGAAGAAACAGATACAGATATTTATTGGTTTTTTTTAAACATTCTGCTTACGGTCACCTTCCATCCACAGCTAAGGATGTGCGGTTACTTAATACTCCAAGAGGACAGTGTCCATCTTCTTCTGAGAATATTCAGGCCTCCTGACCTGACTTGCTCTTGCTATTCACAACCTTTCTCTCAGACCCTGTCATTTCAGAAAGTGGGACTAACTCAAGTTTATCATATTTAGTGTACCCGTCAGCAAATGTGTAAAGGAGTCAGAGGAGACAGGGAGTGTTGAGGGCACGAATTACAATTGCAAATTCTTCAGACAGGACAGACAAGTTGTATCAAAACACAGACTACTGGCAGGGATTCTACATAAAAGAGGCTGCTGCGATTCTATTCTAGTCAGTTGTTGCCAGTTTTTCAAGAGATACCGGAAATCCTCATTTGATTGTGTGTGGACATGACCTGGGATGAAATTAAGTACTTAAAGAGTCATTCTCTGGCAACTTTTCCTTTAGCAGTTCAGCCCAGATAATGTTTAATTTTATTGCATCCTGCAGCTATTAGCATTCAACATTGTTCCTGCTAGGGCCGACCATTATGCAAATTAACATTAAAATAATGATCCTCCTGTATTGTAAAGGTCACAGCAGGCGTGACATGATCCATCTACCTTGTAATTGTCATTCCTTTGGAACCCGTGGCAACTCCCCTGAGAAACCTCTTAGCCTGTGTATCATTTGTTACTGGTGTGACACCCAACCCAGGCCTAAAATTCTTTCCTAGGAACCAGAAGCCACAGCCAAGAGTAGCATTTGCTCTACCAAGGGCTTACCTAGTCAATGCTTGATTAGACACAGTAGGAATTATGGGTGGAGTGATTTGTATGGCAAACTAGGCCAGGTTGGCCAAGTCACATTGTTTGGGACAGCCATCAAATCTTATTTAATTACCATATAGCAATATACTTGCATTTGTGACCAATGATAATAAAATGTTCTGCTATTGTCTTAGATTGTGGAGAGGGAGGATTTGGAGGAAATACAGGAAAGAGGAAAATGGTGTAGCTATCATCTCAAAAAATAAAAGAAGTCATTGTTTTAAAAAAAACTCAACCACAGTACTGACGCATTTATGGCTTAGCTACCAAGTGAGGGCTCTTGCCCAAAGCTTCCGGATCGAAGTGCTCCCACAACGCAAGCGGTCGTCGGTGTACTTTGGGGGATGTGACTGGGCCATAAGGCCTTTGACTTTGTCAGCAGATTTGTCAATTGACAAATTCCAGTTCGGACAGCTTTATTGGGAGGCGAAAGAAGTGTCAGGGTGTGGGGACTGGTTGAAGGAAAGACACTGGAGATAGGCTTTCAAGTTCCTGCCCGGGGTTCCTGCCGGGTGCTCCTTCCTGGGGTTTTTCCTGCTGCCCCTTCCTGAGGTCCTTCCTGCTACTCTTTTTGCTTCCTGGCCACCAAGATATAAGTGGCCTTCTTCTCCATATGTCTCTCCCACTATGCTCTTCTTCACTTCAGGTCTAGAAAACAATGGAGCCCTGAACTGTAGATGGAAATTTCTGAAAACCAGAGTCCAAATAAATAATTCCTTTTTCCGAACTGTTTTAGGTATTTGTTTCAGCACTAAAAGCAAAAACAGAAACAAAGCAAGAGCAAACCGACTAATACACACTTAGTCTATTTAATCTTTATTGAAGTTCTATGATGCTCATAACACCACGTTATTTGGATCCAGTGGATAAAGGACATGTAATCTCTGTACGTAATTTATTTAGGAGTCAGTGGAAGAAGTATGATATGTCCAGAGGTTAAAACAAAAAAAAACAAAACA